CACACACACACACACCCACAGACACGCACACACACACACACATGCGCGCACACACACACACACACACACCCGCACACACGTGCGCGCGCCCACACGCACAAGCGCCACATTTGTGTAATTATTGAATATGGGTATATACATACATATATGTATATATCCTCATCTACTCAATATGGGAATAGACCATGTGCGAAATGTACACGTGATCATATACGTATACATATACACCAGCTGCAGTTGATGCCGACTTCGCGCTCGCGCAATGTGCTCGTCGGCGGTCTCAAGAGTTTGCGTTCTTTTATACATGTCTTCTTATATCGCCGGGCGACGGTATCCTAATAGTATATCACTTAAATTCGGGTTAAACTACACATGTGGGGTTCTCCGGTCCTTCAAATTGATTCAACAACGGATAAAAAAGGGTGTGAAAGAACACGTTGCCAGTGCCTCAGAGGCAAGAAAGTACATGCTCGACCCATTGCATGGACCTTGGACAAGGTTCGTTCAAGCTTCCTTGCCTTCGTCCCCCGGTGTGTTCGAGCACAAGTACATACTGCATCTACTAGAGAAACAGACTCGTGGAGAGCACCCACCTACATTTACAATACATATTATTTGAGTGCCACACAATTTGGTGTCAATCACGAGTTCGTGTCCTGTAGCCTTCTCCGTTCCCAATAGTTAAAAAAGGAGAGAGCGCGCAACTGCATTCTGCCAACTAGATCATGCTCTAGCTTTCGTCCCAGTTCCTCTCCCCCAAGTTTAATGCGCTTCAAGCTGGCACAATACCTTTTTCCTTTGTAGGAACCTCGCAAACTTGGCCGTGTATCATGCACATGCAGCACATGTTTTGCTGTAGTTGTGTGTCTCACAAGTGGCTCCGTTTTGTTTATTATGTACCTAATAAGTTTGATGTCCAGGGTTGTAGAACCAGTGTGCTCGAATGGCAAGTAAGCAGTCAATGCGGAAGGTTTAAAGTTGGAAGCCAATGAGATACGTTGTGCCATGATGACTCCCCCTTCACTACAATAACCGATGGCACAAGATGAACTTTAATAGCCCCTTAATAAATCCCGTTGAAGGACAGATACTGTCAGAAGGAATGACCCAAGACATAGACCTCTTATGGATGCATGTTTTGAAAGGGGGGTCCTGGAACTCACACCCAGTTTACTTTTGAGGACCTTGGCATGCTTGTAATGTTTGAGCATGAAGCCACTGTGGCATGCACTTCGTTGTGAGAGGAGATATTGTATTTGGGAACTTCAATTTTGGTCCTGGTTTCCTGGTCCTCGATTCTCCGGTCTCCTTGGCCTCCCCCGCTTCTCCAGTCATCTGGTCCGCTGCTTTACTGTAGTAGGGGTGTAAACAAGGCCTGGACAGTTGTGAGATGTTCATAGAATCATAGGCTGGGGTGGGGCCAACATTGAACAAACAAAGAGCAAACATACCATTGATTTTGCAGTTTGGGCATGCTCGAAGTCTACGGTGTAATCAAGCAGCAATAGCACCATGGTTGTGTATGATGTTGGCAAAGCGAGGTTGATCCCACAACAAGTGCTGGCATCACTCAGAAGCTGGACCAGGCTTTGTCGTCTTTCAGAGAAATCGCCCTAAAGGTTGTGACTCCGCATGCACATCGCAAAACGAAGCAACCATTTCTGGATCAGGTCATTGCCTACAAGGATGACATTGTTGCCCAGCTGCAGGACGGGAACACGTGGCGTCTCCTGAGCTGCATGTTTGTCAAAGCCGCCTTCTGCAATTGCAGGAGGAAGTTCAGCGCATCAGGGACTCGCACTCAACCATGGCCGTCGCCTCAATCTCTTCTGGCAGCACAGGTTTCTGCAACCACATGTTTTGTTACACCAGGTAAAGACCTATGAGTCCAAAATGGCAGAGTATGGTGTCCCGCCAGAGGAGATACAGTGTGATCTTGCAGGCTACCTTTTTGTTCAGCTCCGTGTCCCGATTGCAGGAGCTTGGCTTTGTTCCAGCTGTTGCTTAATAGGCTGAGCTGCAGCATGCATGAGACCTATGCCTACAAGAGCGAATCCCAATGCTCTATTCATTGAAGTTATGTCCTGCATGCTGGAAGTGATGGTGTCTCCTCAAATGGAGGGCGACACCTTTGTCCGGCTAAAGTTTCACCGTATCGATGCTCGCATGGGTTTCACAGCAAAAGGCCTTTTCTTGTTGAACCTGACAACAAGTATCGAAGTTCATGTTGAATGCAAAGCCACTCTACAAACACTTGATACTCCGGGAGCTGTGTTTCTTCGGCGTGGTGCATTCCGTCTTGCCCATCAGCTATTCTTGATACACAAGATCTTGCAGAGAGTCTCAGCAAGTTTAAGAAAATGCAGCCGCTTTTGATGCCTAAGATTAAACTCCAAACTTTGATTTCTGGTGCGATGTTTTTTTGCTGCTGCGGTGGCCAAAGTGCTGGCGTGAGACAGTGATGTTGGAGGCTGTGTTGGACAGATTGAACCTTTGTCTGGAACCGGGCTTAAGGTTCAACCTGTGTGTAATCCTGTCCAATTTCAGTTGAGTCGCTATTGACAGGAGTCCTTCCTCCTCTAATGGCCTCAGGCAAAGGCTGGGTAGCGAACTGTCAAGACTTTCAAGTTGATGTGTCTGTAAGAGCATGAAATGTTTGCAGTGAGTGCTCCGTGCACGCAGAAGACATCAGAAGACCACACGACGCAGAGGCAAGAGTGGACCTTCCCGTCCGCATGTCGCTGTTCCTCGAGCAGTGCTGCTCACCAAGGAGGTGATAAAGAAGCTGAGTTGTGACAGCTCACAGTCGTTGACCTGGAAGGACTTGGAGAACTTCCACCACAATGTCATTTCGCGGGACACCGCCTTGTTACCTTGTCTGCTGTGACTGTTACGCAAGCTCCGGCTGCATCTCTCTCCTGTCACATTTGGCTGAGCAGGCTCCAGCTAATTCCCACCTTACCAGTCATCTTACCAGCCATGGGTTGATTGATGCCGAACGAGGGGGGAGCATGCTTCGGATGCTCAAGCAATGTTAAACCTTTCAGAAGCACAGGGACTGTGCAGGTGAGGACGAGGTACCATGGGAGTGAAAGCAGTGTAAGGTGTTCATGAGATGTATGACATTTTGGATTGCTGAGGATCGTGCTACTTGCAACCTTGCTTTCCCGAGCAAGGTGTCATGAAGCAGGCCTGTGCTTTTCTGCATCAATTTTCCAAAGCCTCCATAGTGGTCAGGCTCCGCTTGCTCGCCGCAGGCAGTAAACGCGAAGGCCGTTTCCTAAAGCTTGCGCGCACGACCGCGACATTGCACATGCTGGCAGGTCTTGCTCCAAAACTTCAAATCCGCTGGGCATACGTTCTCCACCAGTCACCATGGTTCTGGACAGGCGCACAGCAGGCAACAAAAAGTTGTTCTGAGTCTCCCGCACATGGCAAGTCAGACACGTTCTTCCTGCACGCCAAGGAGGAAGTCAGCAATTTGAGGCATGAAACGTTGCCTCGACTCTCCCGCGCATCTGCCAGAATGCTTACGTGGTGCACACTGCTGCTCCTTTCGACCGCTTGCATCTATGCATTCCGAAGCAGCCTGCTTCCTGACCATTTCTTCAAAGACAGTTTTGCCAAAGATGCAATGAGATATGGCTCTGTGGGATTGCTGACGTGGATGGCGCTAGCTGACACAGCGAGAACTGTTTGGAAAAAGAAATCCCTATGGATAATGGTGTACCGCTTCACTGGCGTGGTTTTGGCCGTGTCTCTGATGGAATTCATCTTTCTGAGCGACCCTGGCTCGATCAATCCACTGGCTTTCGCCCAGCTCACATCCTTTCTCACCGTCTTTGTTTCACTTCTGCCCCGTGATCAGACTTAGACTTTTTTTCTCTTGGATAAGCATTCTGCTCCAGTTTGGCCGTGCGTGACAACTTGGTTCTGAGGGAGGCTTGGCCACGCCCTTACATGTTCTCGGAATATGTGGGAGAATCGGGGCAAGTCACCTTCGGAGAGATGTCAGTATTGCTGCAGCTGGGTCTAGAGGTTGGAGGTAAGGACATACGGGTGATCTTTGAGCTCTATGAGCTGAGGGTTGATGCTTTCTTGAGGCTGGGCTTCTTTCTTTCAACATCGATACGGCGTTGGGTGGCATGTGTTAATGGGTTTCTGACCTTGTTCGACATCATCCGTGCTCTCCAAATGCAACTGATCACGCTGGGCATTCCACGTCAAAATGCAGCACCTTGGATGGCCTAAGAAGTGATTCAAAGATGTCCGACCAAGAACTTGCCTGTTGGTTCTTAGACCGCTTCTACAATGCTTTTATCAGTCCCAGGTCAAAGCTTTGAGTTCCTTGGTGGCAGGGAGGGCCTGCAGATAGGATGAGGTTCTATGTTGCCACGGCTTGCTTGTTCTCGCAGTATGCTTGTTCTCAAAGAGACGGGCAGTGTCACTGTCTCCCCAAAAACAGGATTTGGTCTACTTTCCGGCTGGTTGTCCTGCAGATTGCTCCATGTGGAATCACGCGTCGGGCCTGAGTGCCTCGACTCAGCTTGACGCTGCAATGAAGGATGTTTGATAAAGCTTGATGACATGCGTGCCAAGCATGCTACATTGCCAGTGTGCGCATTGTCACCATTAAGGCAACATGCTGCTCGAGACGCTATGTGGCAAGAGATCCTCACATCCAAGGACCTCTACTTGAGCTTGACGGAAGCAGAATTTCAGAGCCTGGCCGGCAATTTGACGGGAACATGCTCAGTAGTGATTACAGCAGCTGCGGCTGATACGATCATTAGGAAACTGCAAGACGTGCAAGATCCATGCCCCCACCTGTGGCTCTGGATCGCTTCGTTTATGGGCCGTCTGGCCTCTGATGGGGAAATACCTCCTATGGCTTCACCAACATATGGACGCATCGTCGCATTGGCCAACGACGCGCAGAATGCTCTGATGCTCGGCAGGGGACTGTGATTACGGGTTTAGCAGCCAATGCTGGGTTCGCGGTGCTGAGGAAGGAGATTCGAATCTGTGGTGAGGATCTCAGCTGATGGGGTGATGCAGCCTGTGTAGCTGATGTTTGAGGTAGAGCATGAAGCGCAGTGTTCAACAGGATTGAATGTCTGACTGTGTGAGTTCGGGGTCAGGTGAGGTGCAGATTCCGTACCTCTACACCCACACCTTGGCTGCCATTGTCCACGTGAACAACATCCTGTCTGCTATAAGTATGGGCCTCACGCTTGGGAGCTGCCTCGCTGCCTTGCTCACCTCGGTCGACAGCAGATTGACGCTCTATGGTATTGACTCCCGCCCGAGCATGTCAGCATCAGCTACGTTCCAGATTCTTCTTATTCAGAGCCTGAAGTGCTTCTGCGCTCCCCTGCTCTACCAGGCATGTCTGGAAATTGCACTTACACTCTGCGTCCCTTTTGGCCCAAACTGCGATGAAGCGGAGATTCCGGGCGAGCAGATGGTAAGGCACTGCGCGGCAGAATGTATAGCCTGCTTTGAGCTTGCAGCATCGCCTCCACACTGGTCTGCACCTGCCTTCAAGACTGGAATCAGTCATGTTCCCGATATCGAAAGGACCAAGGCTCAGGTACGCCAATCAGGGTGATGTTCGATGGACTTGTCCTGTCCTTGCCGGCGAAGTTCTGCCAGATGCGCTTGAGTGCGAGCAGCTGTAAGACTCGAAAAAGAAGTTGACCACGCTACCACGGTCTTTGCAGCTGCAGGGAAAGCCCGCTCCATGGCTGCCAGGACTCGATCAGCTCCGTTTTGCCGTTTGGGCCTGCGCGACAGTTATCCGCAGCTCCGGTCGTCTCTGTGCCGCCCTCAGCCATCAGCGTTTTCAGTTTGCAAACATGCACGTGCGGATGTGGCTCGCGAACAGATGCTCACATCCCCTTGCCTAGATGCAGAACAAGGGTCTGAGGGAAGGGTAGACAATCACGAGCGGTCAGGAGATGGACAGTCATCATTCACAGGGAAGCACAAAAGTCACAAAAGCAGACAGGGAATGTTTGTTTGTTTTTTGCACGGACGAGTCTGAAGCAGAGTCTTGATCTTCTCGTGCATTCTGCAGCAGTCGCGTGAAGCACGGAGGTTTCATCTCATGGGATGTAATTTTCTGTTTCCATCAAAGATCTACTATGCGAAATTGTATAAATTGTAATCCTGTGGAGTTCTTCCCATAAGACCGAGTCTTCAAATTTAAGTTTCTTGCTAGCAGGCGTTTTGCAAAAGGAAGCAGGAAGAAGGTTGTGGCACATGCACCATGTCATCCTGTGTCTCGATTCCTGCTGCATACGACTCTTCAGCGTTGCATCCCCTGTAGCCTTGTGCAAGGGGTTTGTAAATTTTGTTCTTGCTCTCGTGCCTCTTGAGCTTCCCTTCCGAGTCTCAATCTTCTTGAATCGCGACATGAGGAAAGCATAGCACCACTGCTTTGAATTCTCATGTGAACGGCCAGGGACAATGCTCTTCCAACCCAACCTCTAATTATTGCACCAGGTTTTTCTAACTTTAACAGCGTGCATACTTACTGCTCGAGGCCTGAAAGGTGGCGAGGCGCACACTTGCTTGAAGCAAATGTGAAAACATGTCAAAGGCTGCACGTGCCAACCGTGACCATGCCGTTCTCTCCTCTGAACGAAAAGCTTCTTCCGCCCAAGGATCTGCCTCAAATGCCCTTAAGATGTTGGTGACAAAACACTTACTGTACGTTATTCTGACACATAGCAGGAAAGGTGCCTCGTAAGGGGCTAGGAGTTGTCATCGGGGTCCATCTGCACGCCAAAGCTTTTTTCTCGTGCATGCGGGAGTAGTACGCCGCGCTTGCTTATGAGGGCTTCCCAATGTTGCTCTGGGACCCGGCTTGAAAGCATGGGTTGATAGTTTGGTTTGGAGAGTATACCTTAGCCAGGATCCCCTTCTTGATCGGGTCGTTGAGATCTTGCCTTTGGAATTTGCATGACATGGACATGGAGGCTCCGGCTTCTGCGGCTGCCAAAGGAGAGTTTCTGGTCTGAGAAGTGTAGATCTATGTGGAGTGGGCGCCTTTGAGCCTGGAGGATCTGCAGCTTCAGCTGGCCAGTCCGGCTGGCCTCCACCTCCTCGGCGGAGAACGAGGCAGCTGAACCCAGAGCAGCTGAGCCGGAAGTGGCTTGAGTTGTCATAAGATGCATCCTCACGCAAGCTCCCTTAGCGCAGCCACCTCTCTATAAGTGTACTTGCAAAGATTCAGGTGATAAAGTCTGGTACGGTTGAGCTCCCTCAGAGTACTTGTTTTCCGCTGTTATCGTCGCATCCTTGTCCTAGTCCAGCTTCTGAAGAGCTTCTGCACGGCTCCTTGCGGTTTCTTGCCCCATGGGGTCAGCCGCCTCGGCCTTGCTGAAAGATGTGGAGCAAGCGACGCCTGAAGAGCTGAAAGCTGCGGCAAGCGCGCTCACTGCTGAGGAGCATGCAAGGGTGCGCGCTGCTTTTGCGCATCTTCACACCTCACTCCAGACAGACGCTAGTGTTGGCCCAGTCGTGGCAGCTGCTGGCGAGAACGAGGATGGCGTGGATGCAGCCTTGGCTGCCGAGCTGGCCGAACAGGAGAAGATGTTCCTCAAGTGCCTGCGCAAACGAGCTGAAAGAGAAGCTAAGAAGAAATTGGAAAAGGAGGAGAGGAAAGCTGCCGCCAAGAAGCTCAAGGACAAAGCCATGGAGGCAGCTTTCGACAACGAGCTTGACGATTTGTAGGGGCCTCAGTGCAGGTTGGATTGCGTGCAGGAGCCGCCTTCAACTAGTCTCCCCGCATTCCTTGAAATTGTAGTTGTCAGTCGATTTGCGAAGTCCTGTGCTTGTGCTTGTACGCTCGAGGCCGGCGCAATGCAGCCGTAGAGACACCAATCAAATATTCCTTCAGGGTTGACGTGTGTTGCTGATGCTGATGGCACTGATGGGACTAGTGGTTGATGAAGCCTCTCCAGCAACTGCCCACAGCCAACCTTGACTCTTTGTGAAATCACGATGTGGAAGGTGCAAATGCTAGTGTTGTGCGGAGTCAGGGATGTGCATATCCAAGTATTGCATTTTTGGACCAGGGCATGCAAGCCGAGTTGTTTCCAACATCACCTCAAATTGCATTTAGCAAGCTTAGAATTTTGAAAAGCACTGGCGGCAAGCCCAGGGTACGAGAAAGAACTTTAAAGACTTGCAGGGAGGTATTGTTCCACGTTCTGCAGGCGTTTTCGAGGTCCGATCGCCCAAGGCTCGCCCGAACTTCGCTGGCCCCGAATCAATCAAACGTGGCCACGGCAGGGCACGAAAGGTAGAAAAGCATGGTGTAAGATGCATAAATAAGCTGTTACATGCCATTGAACGCCACAGTGCATATTATGGTCTGAATTTAAATTATGGGAAATGTGTGAATCTCACAGCAAATCAGAGGACATCATCAGTACGCTTTTCTCCAGATGGCCCGGCCGCAGGAAGATTAGTCCCAAGGCAACGGTCAGCCACATACTTAGGTACATTATTGACGGACACTTTCGACAACAAAGCCGAGATAGCTAATCGGCTGGGTGATTGTATAGCAACTTGCAATCGGTTAAAGATCTTTCGGACAAAAGCTAACACATCTATCAAGTGGAAAATTCAAGTTTTCACTGCAATCATAAGGAAAAATGTTATCTGGGCTTGAGTGTATACAATTGACGGGCGCGGAAATTTCAAAACTGAACGCATTTCAGAACAAAAGCCTTCGACGCATCCTTGGAAAGCCTCCCACGTTTTGGATAGAGAACAAACAAATGAACGTATGTATCGGGAAATACGCCACATGTACCATTGCAAATTTGAACATTTTGGTGAACCATGGAAAAGGCTAAATTGAAACTTTTTGGTCACATCCTGAGATCATCAAGCTCTGATCCCTTAAACCAGGTAATGCTGCAGACAATCTACGACCCAGGACAAAAGAGTAGGTCGCCCCAAGTCTGATTGGCTGCTGCAGACATATGCAGATGCCTATAAGTGCATAGAAGGACCCATGGCAATATTCGATCCTAATAACATGGCACATTTGGAGGCAGTCAAGCGACNNCGACAGGCTATCCAAAGGCTTGATCCTTTCTAGTGCCAATGCTGGCGCACCAAGGCTTTCAGCCTTCTCCAGGTAATACGTGAGGTAATCCTATCAACATTGACGTGGTGCTTTGTTTGAGTCAGATGTATGTACATAGTTCTTGGCCTCTGGAGTTCATTCTGCCCGGTTCTGGTTGACAGACGAGGTTGAAGATGATGGATGAAGGTGTCGAGCCCGAGTGTTCAGATGAGCACGGGACGACTCTTCTGTCTGAAGCCTGCGCTGGCAATGCGAAAGAAGTCGCAGAGATGCTGATCGGTGAAGGCTGCGATCCCAATTCAGTTGGGCGCTATCGCCGCACCCCGTGGCTCCACAATTTTTGTGAAGTTTTGTCTTAGCACTTGTGGCTTTGCACGGCTTGCAGGCACAGCCAGGCACAGCGTGGAGTCTGAGCTGAGGCTGTGGCGAGCTGCCTACGCTGGCAATCAAGAGCTCATTCGGCAGCTGCTGCGGTCAGGTGGAGATCCCCGTGAATGTGACGAGCAAGGGGCACGGCCGATTGATGTGGCAAGCAATGCCGAGTCGCGCGAGTACCTCGTTTGCTGGGACCCTGCCTCCACAGACCGAATAAAGGAAGATAAGAGGAAGGCTGCCAAGAATGCAGAGAAGGAGGAGAAGGCCAAGTTCAAGCGACAGCAGCAGGAGCTTGTTGATTCCTTAGAGGAGTCCGAGCGTCGAATGCAGGTGTCGAAGAGTGAGCTTGCCAGAGCTCGGAAACTGTTGGTTGATTATCGCCAGCAAAAAGTCTCCTTTGTCGAGCAGGGTGCACAGGAGAAGCTCGCAGAACTAGAGCCCTTGATCGAGTCAGCGGAGGTTCAGGTGAAACTTTTCGAAGGTAGCGTTCAGGAATGGGAGTGGAAGGCATCCCGCGCGAGGTTGAAGATGAACGACCTGGAGCAGGCTAAAAAAGAGAAGGAAGCCAAAGCAGCGGGAAAGCTCCGCGGCTTCAAGGTGCAGATCAGTTGTGCTTCTCTGGATGAGCTGGAGTCACTTTTGCCACGCCTTGCTCCAACTTTGGAGGCATCTTTGGTCACAAACCCTTTTAGTCGGAATACACAAAGTAAGTAATCTGAGTGCAGCACCAGGTGGACGAGGACTTTGCTTGGAGCGACATCGATCTTGTGAAAGGTGATGCGTTGATAAAGGATGGTGCATTCAGCCATCTCAAAGCCAGCCCCTGGACGGCGTTTTAATTTTGATTCTCGGTTTGCAGACTGTTTCGTCCTCCTCGGCAGGTGAATTCAACAAGCAATTTCTGCAAAGCTACGGCAGGCCCTCACAGGATGAGGTCACTGAAGCTTCTCAGGCCGAAGAAGGCCAGCTCAAAGCCAGCCTTAAGCAGGATGTGGGTTTACAAATGGGATTGTACATTTTGTTTTCGGTTCAAGTCTGTAGCCAGGAGCCGAAAAGGAAGAGCCCTTCCCGCTGACCCTGAACTTCTCCAGAGGCCGTCGACCTCAACATAAGGCTTGCCATGAATTTGCCGCGTGTATTCAGGCTTCAACCGCACGGTTCCGATCAAAGCGATATCAGATGCTGGGCCAAAATGTTGTTGGTGCCTTTAGTTCAGCAGTTGCACCAGGGGACCTTTGGGGTCGCTGATACTGGAACTGAGGATGTGCTGCTGAAGGATGTTGGCGGTTTAAGAGCAGAGGATGGCCGATGGCCGTTTGTCATTGACCCGTCTGGCCGGACCTCCACTTTCATCAAGTACTCCGGCGCAGCTGCCGCTTTGCCACAAGTTACGACAGAAGCGTTTGCCTCAAAGCCACATAAAGCCACAAGACCCACAGAGTGCCACAGAGGTCTTTAACATCGTGGAGCTCAAGGATGCCTTGCTTCGTTGCACCTTGCACTCAGTGTAAGAGTGGAGTTGTCATTCCGCACCTCTGCCATCTTTGCAGGCGTAGCCTTTGAATATGTACGAAGAGTATCTGTGCCGTCTTTCTTCTGCCTTTTTCTTGCTCTCGTGCTCTCATCGGCACCGCCTTAGCCTGGGGAGGTCGGCCAGCTGGGCAATGAAGGGTTGAGACTTGTCAGGTTCTAGAGTGCCTGCACATTCTTTTTTTTTTCTTCGAGTCATGTGATTCATGTGGTAGAAAACGGCACGCAGCGTTTGAGCCAGAGCAGTCTTAGAGGTTTCAAATTTAGTGGCTCGCGCCAGGGCCGGGCAACGCCAAAGTGCAAAATTGCTTGCAGGGTTTTCTTTGCGTGGGCCCACTCCGAAATCGCGTTGCGCGCTCCGCAAGTCGGCTTCCGCCGGCCTGCTCCCACTTGGATGCCTGGGCCGAGAGCACGCAGGCAGACTAAAAGGCTCTTACATGGCGAAATGGACCGATTGGACCACTGATACTGATGATACTGGCCCCCTGGGTCAGCATCATCAGCATCACTTGGAGTCCGTTTCTCCATTTTTCCCAGACAAGTGCAATCTACGCTTTTCTCAGCTCGGCCGTTCATGCGGGCATCCTGTGCAATGGCGAAGTTTGGATCCAGGGCATCATCATTAATGGAAAGTTGGCATTTGGTCCTCTTGGTTATGTTCTTGCATGTTCTTGCCAACTGCAAATGCTCTTGACCATGCCTCAACTGTTGTGGTATGTGGTGCTGTTGTTGTCCTTAATAGCGGAGCCTTGGATGCTGCTGTGCATTATAGAGGTATCAATAACCCAGCCCTGGATTTAGTTCCCGCCTGGCTTGCAGAGAGGGGAAACCTCTACCAGTGGCAATCTTCATTGCTATGAGCCAGATGGTTGTGCAATGCGCAGGCGGTGCTTGGCATACAGTTGCAAAATGAGGCCAGTAACTCAGTTTGGGGGCGTGGATGGGTCGGGGGAAGATGTGTGCGAGTCCCGCGCAAGGGTTGGCCTTGTCATTTGGATCCGTCTTTGATCACGACTCAAAAAGGTTGTTGTGACTAGAACCCCAGTCTGCATCCGGCGATTGCCACACAACCTTGTACGCGGCAAGAATCTAGAGTCTCTGAAATCCTTCAGGGATGAAGAAGTTATAGAGACAGGGGGAGAAGGGTGCACCGACCCATTTTGTACAAGATGACTAAGTATGAACATGTTTTTTCACAGCCATTGAGCGTTAGAGCGCTCCAGAAGTGCACCTTGCACATTTCTGCGAAGGCTTGAAAGCGTAGCTACTAAGAAGCAAAGCTTGGGCTTTGGAAGATGCCAAAAGAAGCGGGAGGCTGAGAACGCTGACAAGCCCCTTGAGCAGTCACGCCAAAGGGCTGCTGAGAGACCAAAGTCCGTAGAGCCCAAGGGTAAAGGCAGAGGCAAGGGTAACCCAGTTACGCCGTCACCAAATCAGGAGTCGACACCGGGTGGGGCTTCTTGGGTCAGGAAGTTGTTTGATGATGGCAGCAGCACTAATACCGGAAAAGTGGTTGAGGGTCATAATAAGGGTAAGGGGCTAAGCAAAGGCAAAGGGAAGCAGAAGGAAACAACGCAGAGAGGAGGCAAGAGCAACCCTAAACCCTCGGTTGCTTCCGTTGCCCTGCCGAGCCATGCCTACGGCAAAGCTGCAATTGTCAGCACGCCAGACGCCAAAGAGGCCTTCACAAATCGAGTGGACGACATGCTGCGCCGTAGGTGGGAATTGGCAGGTCTGGGAACCACAACGCGAGAACTTGCATGGCGTTCAGATGCAGGATCTTAGCCCCAATGCCCCCGGAAGGCAAGGCAATGAAATCCCAGACAATTTGAACCCTGTTATTAGTCACCATGGCAGATCTCCAAGTTGTGATAGCTTGTGCAAGGCCCACAGTAGTCCGCATGACCAGGTCTCTGATGCCTGAGAACTCTGATGATGGGAAACTGTTGCAAGGGAAAAAGACATACCGATTGCGTGTAGCACGTCAGAGTGCCCTTCAACGAGCGCAGGAGGCCTCGGTGTACCATTTGTGGTGACTTATGGTTTATGCAGATGTGTGCACAGGACATGGAACCGCTTCGGCTTCGGCGAGCCTTCTTGAATTCTCTCATCCACGGTGGTGCTCTTTTAGTTGATCTTGGGAGCTTCGCAGAGGGCTTAGGTCATTGGGACCATGTCGGCTGCCACGCTGTTCCTCTTGCTGAAGAGCTCTCTGAAACTTCCAAGCCAAAGGACACGAAGATCGATGTCGTTGCTGACAAGTTCAATGACTTGGAGAAGGGGCTCTTCGCAAAACTTCTCGACAGGGCTGTTCTGCAACTTAGCCATATCAGCCTGTCAAGCACTGAGTTAGCACTAGGACAGCTTGCAATCCTTCGCTCAGCGTGTCAATCTTCTTGCTTGTCAGCTAATACCCGAAGGACGTTCAAGGATCACTTGTTGCTTCGTGCAGGGAAGGTCCAACTTTGCCTGACACAGGCAGTGGCACAGGAACTGACAGGGTTGCACCTGCCAGATGCTGCCAGGTATGCCTACCTGTTACCTCGACGCTTCAAGAGCTTGATCGTGAAGGACTGCCCTTGCGGAAGAACAGATTCGTCAGTCGTCAGCTATTGCTAAGCTCATCCAAATTTTGCTTTGGAGGAGATAGCCCAGGACTTTCAGATCAGTGCCTTCATGGATGAGGCATTGTCAAAGTTGCTAGACTGATGTATTAGAAGACTTTAGCATTTGTAGTTCGATGGAGAAGCATTTGCGAAATTTAGGTTCGTGTTTGGCTTTGTGACGTCCTTCCGGGACCCAGACCTGGACTTCGCCAAACAGTTGCTGGATCTCACGAGAGGGACTGGCTGACTAGCATGAGTCTGGATGTTGTTGCAAGACAGCCCAAGGTTTTACACCATCAGTGTAAAAGGAGGGGACGAGGATGAAGCGTGAGAGGGTACAACATAGGTGTGTCTTTGGCTTGCCTGCTAATGCGCGTGCCACCCAAAGTTGGTGGACGCTCCCCTCGTGACAGCTTTGGAGGAAAGGGGATGAACGCGCTCGTGCTTGGAAGTTTTGAAGACTGACTCCATCGAGGTCCGCCTCAGCTCGCCGTGGGGCAAACTTGGACATGCCGGGGCCTGGTCGGCAAGAGGAGCCACAGCACCTAATGGCACCAATTTGTGAGGTCGCCAGTTCTTCCGACTGGCCTGCCTTGTGCGACAGATGCCACTCCTGCCTTCCCCTCAAAGTATCTTCAGCGGAAGTTAGCTGCTGTCAACTCTTGTTTGGTCTTGAGATTGTGTTTGGCATTTAGATCCCAAGGCCAATAACATGGTCTTCTATGGTGGGCCTCCGGCACCCAGCTGCAGAGAAGCAGCACTGGCTGCGGCAAAGCAAAGTCTTTGCCCGAATTCTAGCAAGGCTGCGTTATGCTCATGGCTTGTGGTGGCTTTGTAGTTATGGTGCGACAGTGTTTGAGGTCTGGTGGGAGCTCACGGTATCAAGAAGCCGTCGCGGGTGGTGCGAGCGAAGACCATTGCAACGAACTGAGTCTTTGATATGAAAGCTAGAACGGCATCTTTACTGCCGCACGTCTCAGTCCCGCATGGATCGCATCAGCCCGGAGCCCTCGGGACCTTCGGCAGCACAGCGCGGTGTTCTTTCGTTGTGACGATAGCCGGGCACAAGCAAAGCAAAAGGTGACGGCGACCTGGTTCTGCAAGGTCACGACCCTCGAAGGCTGGTGCTGCAGGCATCTATTTGGATAACGTGACGCGCTTGCCTGAGCAAGGTTCTCAAACAATCGTGACGTTCGCCAAGCAATCCCGGAGGCCTTGCGACATGTCAATGCAGGACGTTTGCGATCTTTGCAAATTCAGAAAGTTACGTCGCAGGTTGCTCCAACAACTGCAGAAGCCAGCCCGGATGCTGGTGCACCAGCCATTGTTTGAAGCTCAACGCTTGCAAAACGTGTGATGCACCGTGTGATTCATGACCTGATGTGGCAAAGGGCTCCTTCCTTGGCTGGGCTCCGCTGCTTGTCACTCTGCAAGCAAGTTGACATGCAACTTCATAGCAGCGCTACTGGCAGATCAGCTGAGGTTAGCGGACAGTCTGCCAACCCCTTCTGCCCTGCAGAGAGCGCGGAAGCACCCTGGGAGGACATGCCGCTCTGCCTGTAAAGTTTAATGGCGATACATACTGTCTGAGTTGTGAGGAAGAAGACTGGTCTGCCAGCGAGGCAGCCGGCAGCGAAGCTGAGTTTGACTATCGACAGTACAGGTATCGCGAGGTGCTTGCTCGCAAGGAGGTTCCTGAAACTGGTGCGCGAAGAAGAATTCGGCGCGGAAATCGCTCAGCTCACACAGAAGCGACTTCCGATGACGACGGTATAAATGCGGTCAACGCATGGCCACTTTCTGATGGCCAGTCCGAGCTTTGCATTGCGAGCTGGGGCAGATTGCTTTCAGATGGGGAGGACAACGTGGAAGTCGCTTGTGATGAGGAACTCCAAAGAGTTGCCAGTGTTTTGATCCAGTTTTATGGGCTTTGCCATAAAGCCGTAAAGTTCAAAGGATCCGTTCCCAACGTGCTCATCGTCTCGCAGGAGGCATGGAGGTGCAGGGAGAGAAGAGACAGCCAAGCTGAGGAACCGCCAGTTCTTTGGATCAGAGGTGGCCGTGTCTATGACTTTCACGGTGACCGCGGCACAGTGGCAGAATTTGAGAACGATCTGCTTGTGCGGCAAGTGGAAGATGATGCTATATGTCGCCAAAGGCGACAGAAGCAAGGGCTCATGCCCTTTCCATTTGCAGCGTTACCGATCAAGGAGAAGGTTGTTGAGGAGCCAGACGACCCAGAACCTGCCGCTGGACGTGACGTCAGAAGGCGAGTCTGAGTTAATCTCTCAAAGCTGTGGTCGACTGACAAATGCATCGCAGTCTGTGCGCGGGGTTTGCCATCTTCTAAGTTTCACCCGACTTTTCCATTTGAACGCCATTTCGAAGGTTGTATGGCTTACCCGCCCCAACGCGTAGCTCATTGTCGCCCGTGTTATGGCAAGATATTGCAAGCAAAACATTGCACTTCATCCATTGCCCTGCCATGCACAACATCAGAGTTGCTGTGCCAGTGCTCTGCTTGGCTTCATTGGCTCAACTCACCCGACCCCCTCAGCGAGCGATGGCGAGCGCTACAGACGCTCTTTGAGGCCTCCCCCCAATCTGAGAGCAAATTGCAGAATTGCCCAGGATTGCTCAAACGTGCAAAGATATGCAAAGCTATGCAAAGCTATGCAAAGTTGCAGACTGAGAGGCTGAGAGCCTGAGATGGGGAAGTCGGCCAAGCGTGCCTTGGTCTGTTAAGCCATGACGCGTCTCGGTCTCGCGAAGAACCTTTCGTTGGAGAAGATGTCCTGACCTTTCGTAAGCACACTGCCATTACTGCCTCACAACCAGGAGTTGTTACGTGTCTCACTCAGCCACCACTGGACTTATGCCTCCAGTGATGCCCAAGGAAAGGGGACGGCTGGAGGTACCAAGTCGATGCCTCAGCATATTTTACGCAGTGCTCGGTTTAGCTGTTTGCCTTCAGCTCGGGTCCCTGGCAGGAGACCTGGGAAGAAAAAGAAGGGGACAGGAGGCGCGGACTTCTCGGATGATGACTTGGAAGAGGCCCAAAACAGACTTGCATGTTCTCGCATGTATACTTGCGAGCATGAACCCCGAAGGCTTTTCCTTTTCAATGTCTGTGGCTCGAGTCGGAGCTCACATGCTCTTGCATGCTCATCATGGACGATCATATATGACCATGCCACAATTGGGATGACAGTGCCAAAAGGGATCCGGGATACAAGGGGTCGATAATTGCAGTGCTTCCTGGAATGTTGAACCAGTGAGAAGACCGAAGGAAACGTGGTCCCCAACTACGTGAAAGTCTGATGGATACCTCGCCACCGCATGAGATCTCTGAGAAGGCACCTGGCTTTAGACGCTACACATACCGAGAGCAACTTGTCAGCAAGCCAGGCTTCGTGTCACAGCCTTTCCTAGTTGTTGCCGAATTAAAGCCAGATTCATCCCTGGTGATTGTGCACCTTTGTTGCCATTAGGCATTGCAGGGAACGCTGGGGTTTGTGCTGACGATGTTTTGTTTGGTAGCAGCATCGCAAGGTTTGGTGAGGAATGCACTGCTGATTTCGATGATGCACACCTGGCTTGGAGTGGTGTTTTTGAGTCGCACACCTCGTCGGCTCACGGAGAGTATCAGGATCGCTTGCGAGCTATCCAGCTACGGAAACAGGGCCGCTCTAAAGCTGAGATTGCAAAAGATGTTGGACGCTCAGAACGCTTCGTCGCTCGCTGGTGGCAGCTGGAGCCTTTGGCTGTACCGCGACCTCCAGGAATTCATCAGTATTTGGCACACACAATGACAGGCGAGAAGCAGGTCGATCGGACCAATATGTGGCGAGGCGTGGAAGTTGTACGCGGATTCTTCAAAGATACTGCTGGGCTCTACGACGAGATTCTTTCTGGCTTTGCAACCTGGAAGCAGTCTGCATCAGAGACGAAAGACTTCCGCACAGCATCGTACTTCCTTCGTTATGACCGTGAGGGCAAGATGAAGATGATGACCATGAAGTCAGCTTCGTATCAGCGCGCTGTAGTGCCCAGGCTTGATTCACTGGTGCAGAGAATACATCAGAAGGTTGAGATTACAGATCCTGACCATGGTGCAGCCATGTACTGGTTCTCAGATGGTGGTGCAAGTGTCGGCAGCCACCGGCATGTCTTTTGGAGTGCACGTGTTGCGCTTGGTGCTGAGAGAATAATGATGGTGGACAAGGTACCCATCCTCATGCAGGAAGGGGACCTCATAATCATAGGCCCGCAGCGCCATGGCATACCATCAATGCCCCAGATCAATGAAGGGAGTCTGCGTATATCTGTTCCTTTCAAACCCAAGCAGGACTCCAACAAGGTGCATGCCAGTCCAGCATGTGCAGAAGAAGCGTTTGGAGGCGAAGTCGAGCATGATCAGACTCTGAGCTGGGCGCAGGGAAGAGATGCAGAGGAGGACTGGGAGATGGAAAGAGAAGAGCACGACGGCCTGGGAGAAATGGACTTAGCAGGCGAACAGATGGAGCAGATTCTTGTGGACATGGGTTTTGATATTGAGATTTGCCGTAAAGCGCTTCAGATATGCGGCGGCAATGTAGAGCAAGCGATTGAGGCACTGACTAGTGGTGGATTTGCCGAGATGTTGCCTAAGTTCGCTGCCGTAGACGGTCAAGAGGAACTTGACACAGACCCAGACGCTGCTCTTGCACGAAGATTGCAGATGGAAGAGCTGCATCAAGAAAGTCCAGAACAGCTCCATCAGCAATTTCAGGAGTATGAGCAGTTACTCGACATTGAAGATGCCGAAAAGGCGTGGGATGGATACGGCGACTTGATGCACAATGCCTTCCGGAGAGCGCACTTGAACCTGGATATGCTTGGTGCCCAAACTGTGTACTCCTTCGGCGTTGCGGTGCAAACTGAAAGACAATTCTTCGAGCTGCTTTCTTTACATTCCATCCGGGTCGTGTATGATTTTCGGCCCACAGACTATCGCGACGAGGTCCGATGTCAGCAGCCGCATTTTGAGCCGCGGGTCCTGAAGTCAAACTGCCGCCAGCGTGGAATCCATTATCGCCACGTTGCAGTAGGTCGAGAAACTGCATGGGGCACCCTGAAGCATCTGCAAAGTGATGAGGTTCAGCACATTCTGGTCGAACTTATTTGGAGAGCCAAGCACCACGGGCGGACAGTCTTTCTAGGTCAAGAGGAGGATTGGCGCGCTGATGGCCGCCTGGCCATAGCCGAAGAGCTTGAACATCATGGTCATGCAGTGCAGCATGTGAGGTCTGAAGGATCTTTGGAAAGGCATGCAGCAGGAATGCAAATGCCGGACTTCCTGCTGCAGGAGGAAGCCCGGCTAAGAAAAGTGCATGCTCAGCGCAAGGCTGGAGAACTCCACAGGCCGGAGAAATCTGCGGTGAATCGCAGCCTGGAATCTGTTGCTCGTTCACTGGCTACAGAGAAGGTCCAAGTTGATGTTGGCGCGGAGCTGCGCGATGCTGAGAGCCAGACAGAGCTGGATCGAGCACAGAAGCGCATGGTCCGCCTCCAGATGATGGAGAGCAAGAAGGAGGCAGGACTAAGCAAGAAAGAGCTCGTGGCGGTGCCGGCGCATATTGCACGAGAGGCAGCAGTAGTCCAAGAACGAAACGAAGCCAGGCAGAAGGAAAAGCGGGAAAAGTTGAAGAGTACAGGGACTATGGGAACGAGTCAGGTTCCGGAGTCCTCTCAGAGCGCATCCAGCAGCTCGCGTGCGGCACTGGTTCCAATCAGGCAGGACGAAGCTCCAAGCGCATCTTCCACTGGTGGTTACTTTCAGGAACCCGCCAGCAACCAGGCTGAGGCTGAGGAGTCAAGTGTGAGTCGTCGACGATGGGTCCAGGCTACCATGGAGGCACGGAGAGAGCCCAGCCCAGACCTTCAGCCAATCCCGGGAGCATTGTCCAGAAAAAACCGGTGGGACAGGCGGACCGCCAAGTAGCCCAAAAGCCGCTGCAAGGAGCTTCTTGAATGAGAAATGTTACTTGGACGCCTCCAAGTCACAGCATCCTGATGGCTGTCCGGTTGGTGTCACGTGCATGCGCAGCGCAGACATGCTTGCAGGCTCTCAACTGAAGGGCCTCTCCAGTGTTGCGGAGATGTTATGATAAATGTCGTCTGTCAGGGCATCCGTGCTTTCGGTGTTGCTGCCTGTCCAGAGCTGTACCAGAACAAGGGAGCCATGACGAAGTAAGAGCAGCATGTGAGAATGTCCAATTTGCCAACTGCCCGCGGACTGCGTCGTCGTTCTTCGATGTGAAGCTTGTAGCAAGCTTGCCATAGCTTGCCTCCATACTTCGAAGGAGCTTTTTGAGATACGGGTGTGCTTGATGCGAATGGCGCCGGCATTTTCACTGCATCTGGACACCTAGGAGCAGTTAGATTGTAAGCACTGTGCGTCGCCCGCTTCGGCTGACCATTGTGCCACAAAACAAATCTTTCAACGTTTGCTTTGGGGGGGAGGGCTGGGGCTGAAGACCGCGCAAAACAAAAAGTTGCCAAAATGCCCAAGGGGGCATTCGTGGCAACGCCCGAAAGCCTTTGGCGGAGGTGAAGTGAACCCCCGCGTGCCACAACATTCATTAAGATTTCCAAAAAGAACAAGCAGCTTGCCAGGAGCAGCAGTTCACGGCAGCAGAGCTGGATGTGGATGCGGTGAAGGCAGAGGCTGAAGAAGCGGCCAAGCAAGAGCAACAGGACCGTGCTCCGTTTGGATAAGTCTCTTTAAGAAGATATTCGGAAACCGAAAATGTCTCATGTTGCAGCTCAGGAAACTGAGACGGCTGAGGAGGCAAGGGCCAACTCGTGGCATGCTCCGGCAAAATGTCTGTGACTGCTTTGCTGCCTTGCCTGTGGAATGGCTCAAGCCTGCTCCAAACCATACAATGCATTCGGCGATCCATTGCATAATCAATTTGCTTCGTCAGCTCCACTTCTTGCGACAGCTTTTGCGCGATAAGCTGCACAAAGTGGCAGTGGCATGCCATGCAATGGGTAGCGCGCTCGGCCTATTGCAGGTTCCACGAGACACACAACATGATCTGCCAATGACATGTGAAGCTGGTGGCTGATTGATTAATGTTGCGCGCTTTGCTTTCACCGTGGCAATTTGCAAGCCTGAACATTCCACTTGTGGAGAGAAATGGAAAGGAAAGCACAGAGGCAAGAATCACGGCATGGCATGTGGAAACATGCTCTCAGTGTCACAGTGCAAGAGGACAGAAACTGCAGCACTGGC